CACAGAAAGGAACAGGTAGTTTATATTTGTTTGTTAATTTCTACAAACACAGCTTGTTGTTATTAGTTCCTAACTGACACTTTCAGGCAATTTTATTGTATGGAACAAAATTCTTATGTAAGTTTTGTGCACTTTTTACTTAAGAGGATTTTAAATGTTGCTCTTTCCTTATAGACTAGCTATCGTCTGTACAACTTTGGACCAAGTTCAAAAACAATCCCTCACATAAATCTGGAGTTTTAGTTCAGCCCTTAATGGAAATCAATGGACATGTACAGTGAACATCCTTCATCACCTAAGTGGAACAACCCAAAAGGAGTTAATGTGAAGACTGCACTTTGTCTGGAAGCTAATATGCTGTGGTAAGGCTAATTTTACTGAGAAAAAGCGTCTCAGATCTGCATGCATGCAGCCAATGACTCCAGAGAGGTGCCTGGTTAACATTTCTCTGGAAGGATTGTCCTGAATGATTAACAAGGACAATATATGGCTGAGTCTTTCTAGGTTCACCACCTGCAGGCAGGCAATAGCAAGTATGAAAACTCATATTTTCACCAGAATAGCAACTTTTCAAGGACAGAAATATTAAACTTGGAATAATAGATATCTATCTATTTTCACAGAGAAAGACGGAAAGTTCAGAGCTTTTCTTTAGCAGCTTTAATCAAATGGCAAAGGACTTCTAAGAGGTGCTTTACAGTGTGTTGCACTGTAACATAGTGCTGAAGTTACAGTAACCTCTGCTGAGGTGTAAGTGTGCCTTGGCCACAGAAAACCTACAAGCAATGTACAAAATTGGCAGCACCCTCCCAGCAGCGCAGGGAGAGATGTCCTGCCGGAACCTCTCCGACAGGCTGCGAGGAACGACAGCGGGGAGCAGTCTGTCTCCAGACATGGGTCCTGTAGGGGCTTTAGACCAAGGGCAGTGCAGCACAGCGGCTGTCCCCATTCCTCCATGATATGCTGCTGTCCATGATGAAGCTTTAAAAACAAAATTAATATGGTCTTGAACTTCCTCCAAAATCGAAGCGGCGTATGCATGGAGATGTAAGATTCGATTAATCTGGTACAGCTTAGCCTTCTCTGGGCGGCTCTTCTTTCACGCACCCGTGTGTGCAGCAGTCGGGCAGTGCAGTAACACCGTCCACGTGTCCCGCAGGGAGCAGGGGGTACAGCACAGCTCCACACGCACAGGGAGACCCACGGCCCCGGGCACCACCAGGTGACTCCTGAAGAGAGCCACAAGGCTTCCCACATTGGCCTGGGAACACCATGGGGACACGGTGGGAAGTTAGTGCAAAAAAAACTAGAACTAAAAATAAAGTCGGGTAAAGGCTTCTAATCATGTCAATCTCAAGTCCCTTTCTGGGCTAACCTGGGCACGTTTAAGCAGTGCGTTGCACTGCGCTAACAAATGCTGTTGCCGCATTGCTAAAGTCGGCTGGCGACCTCGGCGCCCCGGTGAGAGGTCTCCCCTCCCTGCAGGGATGGGCCCAGGGGCCGGGA